TACTCGTTACTAAACGATATACAAACGGTTAGTTTAAAACGTCTATTTTCGATCATCCCAATTAATCCCTTATTATACTGTATTGTTTTGTTTGAGTGATACGTAATACAGATTACTTCACGTGACTTGATCTTGAAAATTTTTTCCCCGCCCAAAAAAAAATTTTTTTTTTGTACAGTAAATACATCTTTAAATACACATAAACTTTACAAGCGATGATAATAGCAATGGCCGAATCAAATTCTCATGAACATTTTTCGTCTAGTAATCATGACCAAGATCCCTACTCGTTATCCATTAATGGGAATGGTAACGGTGCTACCAATTCAGTGTCAAATGATACTTTACAACAAGATATTTCTCCACCTCAAAGTCCAAAAAAACCAAATTATCAACTAAAATACAGTTTGGTTGGACATAAAAAAGCAGTTTCTAGTGTCAAGTTCTCTCCCGATGGAAAGTGGTTAGCAAGTGCATGTAAGTATTAATAAGCTTTTTCTGAAACTTTATCCGTAGAATACTTATGGAGCTGCAAGTCAAACATTTGATGCTTACTAACACTTTCTAATTTACAGCTGCTGATAAAACAATAAAAATTTGGAATGCTAATGATGGCAGATATGAAAGAACTTTTAATGGGCATACACAAGGAATATCAGACGTGGCATGGGCTGTCGATTCTATGTCCCTATGCTCGGCTTCCGATGATACAACGATACGAATATGGCATTTGAATCAGGTAATTAATTGTTTCACTACTATTTACATAACTTTGTGGTATCACACCTTCAACTTGATTTAATATAATACAGAATGAAGCCATCAAAGTTCTCAAAGGACATTCGAATTATGTCTTCTGCGTTAATTACAATCCACAGTCGAGTTTGATTGTATCCGGTTCTTTTGACGAAAGTGTGAGAATCTGGGATGCCAGAAATGGTATGATTATACAAATCATATTATACAATAAGTGATCATTACATTAATTAATTTACATGGTAGGCAAATGTTTGAAGACATTACCTGCTCATTCTGACCCAGTTTCAGCTGTTCATTTCAATCGAGATGGAACAATGATTGTATCATGTAGTTACGATGGTCTAATGTAAGTGCAATAAAGACATCTGTGTTCTATGTTGTATTACTTTCTGATGATCTGAGTTTTGAATTTATATAGTCGTATTTGGGACACTGCAACGGGTCAATGCCTAAAAACATTGGTGGATGACGATAACCCTCCAGTGTAAAATTTCTATTACTTTTAATGTATAAAACTAGTTTATACATTATATGTTTACCTACAATTTTTTTGCTTTTTTTTAGTTCATATGTTAAATTCTCACCTAATGGTAAATACATTCTTGCTTCAACACTTGACAACACTTTGCGCCTTTGGAACTTTCATTCTGGGAAATGCTTGAAAACGTATGTTGGTCATACAAATAATAAATATTGCATCTTTTCGAGTTTTTCTGTCACGGGAGGAAAGTGGATCGTAAGCGGAAGTGAAGATAACTGCATTTACATTTGGAATTTGCAAACCAAGGAAATTGTACAAAAATTGGTGGGACATTCCGGTAAGCCATACAGTAATTCACGAAGAATGATTTGATGAAATTAAATCTATGTATATTTATTCATATTATATACTATTTCGGTATTGTATTCAGATGTCGTTCTTACCATTGCATGCCATCCAACGAAAGATATCATTGCGTCTGGTGCAATCGGAAATGATAGATCTGTCAAGTTATGGTTTGAAAGATCATGATACTAACGACTACGAGTGATTCTATCTATTAGCCTAGACTAGACATTTTGGCTTAAAAAAGTGTATAATAATATATACGCAAAAGTATTAAAATTAAAACTTCTTAACCTTATTATTCTTGCATATAATCGTGGGTGATTTGGTATATGTTTTTCTAAAGGTGCAATTAAAAATCCGTTTGTCTCAAGATTTAATATACTAGTTTTTTACATGTACCATAAAAAAAATGCCTTCATTTTAAAATTCGATATTTGTGATCCATCACCAATGCGACGCATTATTACTTTTCTGATTCCTTGCGGAATTTTTGGTTAGAGAAGTTTTTGATCTAATTCGGTGGTGTTCACGTGATTTATGAAGTTGACCAGAATTAAAGTGTATTTTGGTAATGCCAGTCATTGTTGTGCCTTTAAGCACGTGAAAGTTGTGTTCGAAGATTTTACTTGAACAATCATATTCTGATCAGACGAAATTTTTTTTTCAATTCTAGAGAATTGTGATTAAAAAAATTAAAATAGATATCAAAGTTTCGAAAAAATTTAGATGACTATCAAAATATGCTGTGACAAAGTTTTTCTAAATTCTGAGCGAAAATATTTCAACAATCGCCTATACAGTATATCTAAACTTTTATGTTTTATTTACATAATTTCATATATAGAATCTATTTAATTGATTTTGGACACGTACGAGGCAATCATCAAGGTATCTTTGCTTAAATTTGAAAAATTATAACGAAGTTTGTTTATAATTTAAGCAAAGATATCTTAACAATTATCTAAAATTAATTGTTAAGAAATACTTGTATTTTTATTACCTTATTTTCGCGCAGGGTGTAATTTCGAATTTTGGCTTAAATTATGATTAATTCGGGCCAAACTTCGAAATAACGCTATTTCACAAAAATATGATATTATAAATTATAGAATAATATAGGGTGTTATCTATTAAAACAGCCCTTTTTTACATATATTTTATTTTGAGATAATTGAGTTTAATCATTTGTTTTGAT